ACAACAAATAAATAAACAAACAAAACAAACAAATGCTATTCAAAGAAATAAAATCTTTGATAGAATTAAAAAAAAAGTAAATAAACAAATTTAGATCAATAAATTTTTAATGAGAAACAAGAAACAATAAAGTTTTCAATTATCACTTTTATGTAGTAAGTGTTCACTTAGCGATATCTAAATTTTTAATTTAAATTAAATTAATTTACTTCATTAAAAAGTACTAATTATTTATTCTTTCAAAACCCAATTTATTTTTACAAAAGTATCATTTATTATTACAAGAAAATCATTCTATTATTTCTTGCAATATTTAAAAAAATTGTTTGGTATAATATTTTTGAACGATGAGAGAAATTAAATGATTATTGAAATGATTACCTAATTTACATTTGCTATGATAATCAAAAAATTTTATGACGCAAAAATTTAAAAGTTTAATTTTTCAAAAGAAAAAAGATTTATTCCAACACATTTAATTTTAAATAAGTAATTTTTATAACAATAACTCTTTTAAAAGAATAAAGAAGTTAAAAAAAGTAAAGCTAAAGATGATTTATTCAACTGTAAGTCTACTGAGATATTATGTAGTGATCAGTTGACCTCTTTGGCGGGCTGACCTCTTTTAATGTCTCATCATCACCTCATCCAGAGATATTTATTATTACATGAATCAGAGTAAGAAAGAAAATTGGGCTATCTTTTCCATTTTACTTTCTTTCTTCTTTCTTTCCTTTTCAAAATAAATAAGTGAGAAAATGCAGCACTTGAAAAAATAGTTATAAATTTTCTCAATTTACATTTAAATAATTTCCGGTAATCAAATAATGCATTTCCAATTTAAACTTTTTGATTACATTTTCGAACGTAAAAATTTTACAAAATAGTATACAATTACTTCTTCTAATTACATTACTTTAACATTTAACTTTATACAGCTTTACAGTAGTAATCGATTATCTAAAAACTCTTTCTCCTTTATCATTTTTTCTTGTAAATTTGCCATTTTGATTACTGAATTCGAATTTATTAATATGTTATCAAACTAATTCAAACACACATATATATATATACAAATCATTTATATTCCTTATCAATTTATTGATAATAATAATTAATCACACTTATCACTACATTCAATTAATCAATTAATTAAAAAAAGAAAACAGTTATTAACAATATTTATTGCAATTATAAAAATTTGTCATATTACAAAGAAAGAAAGAAAGAAAGAGTAATAATAATCTGCTGGAAGTTATTAGCAACGTTTTCAAATAACTAAATGGATGACCCTAAAATGTCCTTCGAGTTCACTGATAAGTATGAACTTTTCGTTTTCATTTCTTTTTTTTTTCTCTTCTCTTTCACTAGTAAAAAAGCACGGATAAATAGAAATTAACAGACGAACAGATGGACAGACAGAGACAGACCGGCAAACAGACAACACACATAATTACTTCGCTGATTGCATCTTATAAGGTACAGAATGGTACCAACATTCATATATGCTACACATGGATGTATGTGTGTGTGTGTATGTGTATGTGTGTGTGTGTATGTGTGTGTATGTGTGTGTGTGTGTGTGTAGGTGTAGGTGGGGTGTTCTTAGTGGCAGTTCAATCTTTGAATTATATTAAAAAGGCCCTTTCCTCTCACTGAAATACATCGATCCCAGAGGACAATGAGGAAAGAAGGAAAGAGAAGCCTCAATGAAAAATTGAAGTTTTGAGAATTGCAAGAAAAGATCTGACAGATTTTCTTATCAGTGATATTAATTTAGTTTAGTTTGAATTTAAATTTATATTTAAATTTCTCATTTATAGTCTTCTTTTTCTTCAAATATTACTCTTATTATTATATATTATATAATCTTTTTTAAAATTTAATTCATACATTTCAGTAATTTAGTAAATCATTCAATGTTTCAATTTGAATTTCTTAATTTTAGCACAACAATTGAAATGTGTTCTTTTTTTTTGAGGAAATAATAAAATTAATGTTAAAAGTTGTGAGTGGAAAAAAAAAATAACAAATATTAAAAAGATTTGGAATTAATTAAACTTACGCATTCCTAGAAAATAATAAATTTTAATTTTCATTAACAAATAAAATTTCTAAATTGTTTTCAAAATCTATCTTTTCTAGCAATTTTTATTGCAAAATAATAAAGAATGATAAGTTAATCATTATTTTTTCTAGCAAAAATTTTTCAATTAAAATTATGAAAATGAATTAATTCAGAAATTTTTGAAATAAACATAAATAATTATATCTGAAAGCTTTACATAGCTATGAATAAGATTAGAATGGGTGGGTAATTAAAGGGATAAATCAGTTTAGTTCTTCATCACTGATCGTTCTTTTAAATGCTTAAATATAAAAGAGGAAATGACCTCATTCTATTTAACTGTTCATTTTATGATATGGTCGAATGTCACATAGACAAATTGTCACATACTTTTCTCAACAAATCTTTACACAACGAATGATAGTTGTTATGATTATAATAATAACTTAGCAATAATTTCTTCACACCTTCATTTAATCAATAATTCTATTTGATAATAATTTAATTCAAAAAATTTTCAAATGCATTATGAAATAGTAAATTTGAATAATTTTTAAACTATAAGTGAAAAGTGCGCCTTTAAGAGTTGGAATTCGTAAAAAAAAATGTCAAAATTTTTGAAATGTTGTCGAAAGTTTTTTAGAGTTGTCAAAATTTTTGAAATGTGAATAGATTCATTCTACGTAAGTGAAACTGAACAATACAAAAAGCTTAATCATCAACAATGGATATAAGCAGAATAATAAATCATATGCATATATTAGCAATCCGGAAGAGACAGATTCAGGAAACAAATGACCAAATAGTATATTCCAATAGTATGAATAAAATTTCAGAATTAATTAATCTTATCTAATATTGTTTTATTTGATGTGTGAAATTATCTAATATTAATAATATTGTTACTAATAAAATATATTACTCATCTAACATTAATTTCATTCTGCTTGTCATTTTTGTGTGAACAAATTTAATTCCTGAAACAATTCAATGCAAAAAAAAAGAAACTTAACTACTTAATTTGAACAAAGTTATTCAAATATTTTGGTTTTAATGAAAGCAATTAATATTTTAAATAAGATATTTCATAAATTTTTAAAAATATCAAATTATTATCAAATAATTTGCATAATTGAATGAATTCTAATGTTATCACTTAAATTTTATCCATCTAAAGATTTTTCCTCCACTATTCTACCAATCAATTTATTCATCCATCATTCTCTTAGTAACTACTACATCAATTATCACTGACAATATGTCACTAATAACTATTGAAGATTGTTTTTTGACAAATAATTGAAAACGAATTAGATAGAAAGTAATGGTAATAAGTAAACAAAGTAAAGCAAAAAATAATTATTACTAAATATGAAAAGCAGCAAAATTGTAAAAAGTTTTGATAAAAATGAAAATTTTTTAGCAAAATTTCAATGATAGCAATAATAATGATGATACTGTCAATTATATTTTATCTAATTGATAAATCAAGAGATACTATTTTAGAAACATGAAAAATTATGCTGAAAATTGTAGATGATATCAATTGACAGAATACAGATGATTTAATAGTGATAATTTAAATTATCAAAAGGTTAACGAAATGTTAATGAAGATGTGATAAGATGGTAAATAAGATTACATTATTTTTCAATTCATTTATTTTTCATTGATTAAAACAATCAAACGTTTTGCTAAGAAATTACTGTTTAATGATTTTTTTTTTTCATTTCATTTCTTGTCACTCAATTTGTCACTCAATTTGCTAATCAATAGCAAAGTATTATCATAGCATTTTGATTATGAATTATTATCACAGTAATCAATGCCATATGAATTTATCAACATTTTTGCTTATGGCAATAAACTGTAAATTATTGCAAAAATTATTTCTAAAAGATAAAAAAATTTTTTCAAAAATGCACTCTTTAAAAATACACAAATAGCATTGAGAAAATGTTTGTTTATAATAATGCATTACTGATTATAGGTGCAAATTAACAATATTATCGATAAAAAATAAATATCATATGCTAATAGAAGAGCTATGAGATAATTTTAATCTTTCAATAATATCATTGTATCATCTATTATAGTAGTATTATGATAATAAAACATTGATAATTTGCAGAGTATTATTAAATAGCAGAATTAAACACAAAAGGCAAAATCATATTACACACATGCTGGTGAAAATTTTTTGTCATAAAAGAAAAAATGAATGAATAATCATGTTATAGCATAGGGTCAAAGGTTAATACCTGCTAAAAATTAAATTATGGAAGGAGAGAAAGAGAGAGAGAGAGAGAGAGAGAAAAAAAAAAGAAATTTTATTAACAACGACAAATGAATAGCAAATGTAAACAAGGTATTATATTAGAGGGATAAGTATGAAGGATAAAAGAGTTGAAAGATCGAGAAAAGATGGGTCGGTGTCGTTGTCTACAACAGTGCTCATTTGTTGTGACCGCGATAGTACTGACAATAGTCCATTGTATAGGTAGGTGGTGTATGTGTGTGTGTGTATGTGTGTGTGTATAGGTTATGTCGATGTCCATCTGTTCGTCAATTTGCTTTTGTGAACATTTAATAAGGAGGTTTCAGTTGAATCAAATTTCGAAGTAATTTGATGCCATTAAGGGTAGAATAATGATATAAAGGTACGTACGTATTACCGATGGAAAAATAAGGGAAGAAGAATTCATTGATAATATCATTTTGAAGATTGATGATAATTTATACTTTGATAGATTAGAATAATCATTGTATCAGATGGTATGACTAGTGGTCAATGTCATGTCATGTCTGCTTAGAATGTCACATCAGTTTTTGTGTGCTGAGAAGGGTGAGAAGATTTAATAAAGCTAGTTTCATAGAATCATTCTCCATACAATCATATCGTGTCATCCTGTCATCTTCTAACCTCTAACCTCTAAGCTTCAAATGACCCTGTCTGGTCAGTCTCTTTTAACTTCTTTCTAATAATAGGAGGTGAAGAAGGAATAAGAGGAGGAATTATATGTCTGAGATGTGAGAAGAGGAAATAAAAGTGTGTGTCTACCGACAGCGTAGGAAGGGGTTCGACGACCGGCGCTTGACCCGAACTGGTACAGAGGGCACACTGAAACGACCGAACACCTTCCTCCTCCTTCCTTGCCCGCTTATATGCCAATAATAGCAGCCTTGTGCTGTATGTGTTACTTTGCTTACCCTTTCCTACCCAATAACTGAGACTCACCCGTAAACAACCCTCTAAACAACAACAATGTATTCCGCTCTTCCTGTCCCGCACCACCTCAATCATTCGCGGTAGCACAGATACACGCGCACCTCTCTCCTCCATTCCAACCACTAATTACAACCGCTAATTGAATGGATAGTAGCACTTGGGTGGAATATGAAAATTTGATGTCAACTCACTGTGACACATAACAGACAATCATAGCAAATGACCACTTCAGATGCTAAATGACCACATTGGAAGATCACTGTGATCTTATAAAGGAGAACTATTATCACTATAATATCAATGTTCTATTGTTATCATTTTCGATTGACCAAAGGTCATCTCTGATCTCACTTGATTACTTTTCATAAAATTTAAGCAATTGATTATTAGAATAATTGAAGACATTATATTCGAAAATAGAAAACAATGAATAAACAAATAAGTAACAGTAAACAAACAACTGATAATTACTACCAGATAAACTAAATAAATAAAGAGAAAACAACCCCGAGAAATACGAAATGTCTCTGAGGAATTGAAAACCACCAGAGAGTTTGAGCTAGGATAAAAACGTTCAACAAAATTCTATGTGGAGTTAAAAATCAAATATATGATTGTTAGCTAAAAATTGACAGTAAATCAATTAGCGGCTAAAGCAAAAGAAATCATAACTCTGAATCCAAAGAAGAAGAAAAAAAAAAGATTCTTCTTGAAAATGGAGATTTTTTTAAAGTTTTAGACAAATAAATTTCCTTGACAGTCATAGAAATTTCGAATTTCTTTTGAAAATTTTAATTTAACAATAAATGTCATAGCTTCTGCTAGTAGTTTGCTGTTGTTAATCTTCAAAGTTGATTTACAATATTGCATATTACCATAAGGATAATAACTGAAAATCAAATATAATCCACAGCTATCATTTATTCTACCATTTATCATAAATTCAATTTTAACATTGAAGCATAAACAATACAGCAATTTAATCTAAAAGAATTTATCAATATTATATCGATAAATAAAAAAAAAAAAAACTTTGAGAATGATCACAACTCATTGGATGAATTATTTTGCATAAATGAAATGAACAATATACTATTCATCGTGTTATACTAATCAATGAAATACAATTTTCATTGGCAGAATTTTGTTGACCGAAATTATTTAATTATCTTTCACATACCTGACATTAATTATCTTTCACATGACCAAATGAAAAAGAGAATTCTCGAAATATGGGTTATCATAAAAACGATAAATAATAAACATATAAATATGTATCATGCATAAATGTGAATTGTTTCAAATCTCAATATAATCTAAATTAAAGAGCCACTGATAATTACAACTGTCAACAATCATCTTTTGATAAATCCAAGTGATAAATTAAGTTTGTCCTTATAAGTTTATCCCTATATTCTTGAGCTTAAAAAAATTTAGATTACTGACAGTATTTAGTGCAAAGCTATAGAAATGATATAAAAATGGTTATATCACCAATGAAATTATTTAAAAAAAAAAAAATAAATGCAAATGCTAATTTAGGATATAAATATTTTTAATCTATCATAAATATCTCTCATCCATTTTATTAAATTCAATTCAAATTTACATACGCTATTGTTCAATGCATCATTTATTCAATCTTTTAACTGAACATCGTATGATAATTGATTATTATACCTAAATCAAATTACCGTATCATATAAGCAAAAAAAAAAAAAAATAAAAAAGAGGAAAATCAGGAATAAGAAATGAAATGGTTGTGGTATAATTTTTGTTACCGCTGTATAATATCTTCTACCTACCAACCAAACGGTAGACAAAACATCGTAAATTATTGACTAATCAAAAATTTATGAGGCAAACGGGTAGGTATGAATACTGACGGTGTGAAATAGAAATTTAAGACTTTCATCAAGCAAAAAATCATTAATGACTGACCACAAAAAAAAAAGACACTGCACTGTTTCGCATTGAAGGTCAAATTTGTTTTTTTTTTAAAAAAACTTTAAGAAAACGATTGCAGCAATCTTTAATGTTCAAATCTATTGCTACAAAAAAAAAAAAAAATTAAATTAATTTAACATTTAAGATTAACGATACTAAAGTATCTAAAGCTATTATTATTATTTTTTTTTCCTTTTTTTTTGTGCAACTGTCAAAAATTCATCAAATAAATGATAAAGGAATGATTGAAAGAATTTATGTGTTAAATAGCAGATAACAAATGATAAAAAAAAATGATGGCATTAGTTTGATTGTATTATAATAATGAGAATTTAAGCAAGTCAAGTAAATTTAACCGGGAAAAATATGCACTCCGGTTGACCGGAATGTGGATCGAATCTTTCTGGATCATTATTATTATTATTAGGCTAACATATTGCATTTGACAATCGAATAATTGAAGTAATCGCTGCTAAAATTGGATAACTTGAAAAATAGCCTTAAGCAACGGAAGAAAGTTAGTGTTGAAGTAAAAAAAAAAAAAAAAAGAAAAAAGTGCAATGACAACGAATAATATTGTGTTACTGAATGACAGGAGAGACAAGGAAGAATGAAAAGGACAAAGTTTGTTTTAAAAAAAAGAAAAAAAAAAGTTACTTTAAAATTCGAAAATTGAATGTTATAAATTTAACAAATTCATCATCATCTCTCTGTAATAATATTCCTTAAAAAAAATGTTAAAAATTCGAATAAGCAATCAAAAAGCATTTTTAACTTTTTCAAAATCACTGACAAATGGAATGAAAATGCGTCTTACTACTACACTTTAATATTATTTATTGCTATAATAACTAAATCATAGAAGCAAAAATATAATTTGTTTTGAAGCCGGTTTATCAGGTAGCAAGTTTATCAAATTATCTCTTAACATTCATGCAATCATTAATAGCTACTGCTATTAATAATAGTTGACATTACGGTTAATGTCAACTATTAGAAGAAATTGGTAATTGGTTAAAAGAAGTGAAATAATAGTGATAAAAAGAAATTTCTGAAATGGATAGATGAGATAAAGGTAGCAAAGCTTGTTTCTAAATCAATCATTATTATTTCATGTAAACAATAACTAGTTTATAATAGATCATTCATCACTTTTTCTTCATTTATCTCAATACTTGTTAAAAGTATTATTTTTTAGGGAAAGAGAGAGAGAGAGAGAGAGAGAGGGAGAGAGAAAAACAGGAAGAAAGATTGGTTTTCAAACAAACAAATAATATTAATAATAATATGAATGATAAAATTAAATTTTGAGCAAATGTTCATTTACAAGTGATTATTACAATGATCTAAAATAGATATTACTTATAAAATAACTATTTTTTTTTATTCAAAGAATGAAAATTATTTTAGAAAAAGTAGCATTAAAATAAGCTTTCATTTTTATCACTGAAATTAAAAAGTTTCAATCAGAGAAATTTTATAAAATTTTAAAAAATAAAGAAAAAAAATTTTTTTTACCTGCTGATAGAATTCTTGCTCGTTGATCGATTATACTAACAAGTTTTGTATTCGAATATTCGTCGTTCCGTAACGGTACGGTTTTATTACGATTACGCGGAATTTCCGTTATTTCTGATAATTGCCGTAGCAAATTTTTTTTTCTTTTACAGTAAATAAAGATGATAAAAGGAAGACCGAATGACCACTGACCGAAATGAATTCCAGAATTGTACCAGAATATATTCCCACCGAGATTAATGCTGAATGGAAAAGAAATCAAAGCAAATACAAAAAAGTTAAAAAATATTACCAATCAATAGAAATTATATATGTACGTACGTTAAGAAATATAAATATATGCGTTAATTAAATTTTAATTGTAATTGTTGACTAAATTAGAATAATTTTACAATTATAAGAAGCAAAATAATCCAAAAAAAAGAAATTTTTTTTTAAAGACAGCAATAAGTGATTAAAATAGAGAACTAATTGGATTATTAATTGGTTTATCTTCTCCAATCGGATGAAAATTCTTTATTTTTAACAGAGCAAAAACATATCATCAAAAAATTGAAGGTTGAATGAACAAGAAAAAAGTATAGTAGAAACTTTCAATTTATTCTCTTTTGCTTGTTAGATGGAAAAAGCAGTCAAAATTAAATAAAATAAAATTAATTTTTTTCAAGTCCTTTTTTATTGTTCTTTTTTTTCAAACAATATTATTATAATGTGTACAAGTAAAAATTTGAATTATTTGTAAGAATATTTTCATACCACTAATTTGAATAACTCATTATCCAGGAATGAATGCAAATAGAGCGCAAATTGTAAGACTAATATCTGAGAGTTCCCCTCATTCGCATGAGTAAACATAATTTTTACGCAAATGAATCAATTACAGGAAGAAGAAAAGAAAAAAGTTGGATTACTTCCCGATTTATTTCATTGAAAAAAAATTGTGGAAATTTTCCAAGTAATCATTTGTAAAAAAAAAAAAAAAAAAAGAAAGAAACGAGGAATTAACTTTTCTTACTCAAAGTACATTTTATCCCAGAAGAAAAAAGAACTGCTGAAAGGGTAAAGCTGGGCGGACTAAATTATTCTGGAATAGATTTAAAGGAACTAAATATTCTGGAATAGAGTTAAAGGAACTAAATATTCTGGAATAGATTTAAAGGAACTAAATATTCTGGAATAGATTTAAAGGAACTAAATATTCTGGAATAGATTTAAAGGAACTAAATATTCTGGAATAGATTTAAAGGAACTAAATATTCTGGAATAGATTTAAAGGAACTAAATATTCTGGAATAGAGTTAAAGGAACTGGATATCCTGGAACAGAGTTAAAGGAACTGGATATCCTGGAATAGAGTTAAAGGAACTGGATATCCTGGAATAGAGTTAAAGGAACTGGATATCCTGGAATAGAGTTAAAGGAACTGGATATCCTGGAATAGAGTTAAAGGAACTGGATATCCTGGAATAGAGTTAAAGAACTGGATATCCTGGAATAGAGTTAAAGGAACTGGATATCCTGGAATAGAGTTAAAGGAACTGGATATTCTGGAATAGAGTTAAAGGAACTGGATATCCTGGAATAGAGTTAAAGGAACTGGATATCCTGGAATAGAGTTAAAGGAACTGGATATCCTGGAATAGAGTTAA